TAATAGTTTGGGACAATCAAATAATAATTTAAAATTATTTATTAAAACTTGCATAATAAATCGTTATAAAAATATTGGGTAATTATGCTAATTGAAATCGATGTAAACAAATTGCTTTTTATAATTGACAGTGATAAGAAATATACAATATATGTAAATATTTAGTAATAAATAAAAGTGATCACAAATGTGTCTTGAGAAACACTATATCAAGTTATAAAATTTTACAATAACAAATCAATTTCTCATAAATAATACATACTCCAATAATTAAAAATACAGAGTAATATAAGATAATATCATTACAAAATATCTTATATACACAAACTAATTGTTTCTCCCAAAAATTATAACTTGTTTATTGCTGTTTAATGAAATGAGAATCCTATAAATCTAAAAGAATTAATGTATCAGACAATGTATCAGATTAATGTCAAAGACACTATAACATACTGAAATGGGCGACGTTAAGATTTTAACATAGAGAAAATTATCAAAAAAGTAAACATTGAAAAAAAAAATCTGAAAATTAATTTACAAAAATATATTAATTTATAATATTTAAATTATAAATAAAAATATATTTTTTTTATATAAAAATAAAAATAAATAATAAAACCTTGATTTAAATTGTAAATAAAATAAAAACTTGTCAAAAGTATTAGGGTATGTTTCTTGTCTAACATTTTCAAAACCGATGCAATCAACATAACACGTTAAATATTAAACGTAATTGTGTTTAGTTATCTATAAATTAATGAAAATCAGAATTTTGTCTCAAAGCTGTTAACTGTGGTAGCTTAAGGTTTTTTATAAGAAATATTTTAATTTTATTCAATATATAGTGACTCCGTTTAACTAAAACTTAAGGAATGCCATTATGGCACTTAAAAATGGGTTGTTTTCACGTTTTTGAACCAGAGATTTATCCTCAATTCAAAGTGATGTACAAAGAAAAATAACTTGTATCATTGATAATACAATAATTAGTTATTTATAAAATAAATATACTACAAAAAAATTTGTTTAAAATTAATGTTTATTTGTTTAATTTAATATTTGTTTAATTTAAAAGATAAAATTATTTTTCTCAAAATGATTCACTTAATAAATACGTAGTAATATTTACTTGTATATATCTATCACCTTCTTTAGGAAATAAAAAGAATTATTTTAGAAAAAATAATTTAAGTATAATTCTTATGTATTTAAAAGTGTATATTAAAATTTATTTTTATAAATATGGAAATGATAATTGTGTAATGAAGCAGAACTAATAGAATAATTTTAAATTAATAACTTATGTGAATCATGAAACAGTTGAACTTTGATTATTATTAAAAATAAAAACTGATATTGCTTGTGTTATATATAAAGGCAGTCAGAAGATAATAATAACATTTAATTAATAATAATTTGTTTATAGGGCAGAAAGGTTAAAAACGTACTTTAGTGATGTATGTTAAGTTTTTAGTGGGTAAAACGTGTATATAATAAATATTTTTTTATTAATTTTTTCTGTCGACTCATTAATTATTTTGCATACCTATATGAAGTTTGTTACAAAATATTTATGTAGCTTTATTCTACCTAAAGATAATAAATATAGTTTTTTATAAATTATATTAATAATTATAAAAATATATTTATTATCTTTGCTTAACCTAATCTTAATTGAGCTTTAGGTTCAGTACAAATCCATAAATATGTTATACAAAAAAAACCTCGACTTAATAAAGAACTTCAGTATAAGTTACATAGATTAGATGCTACATACATAGTACTATACGAAAACATGGTTTGATTTTAAGCAATCGGTTAGAATATCTGGACAATGCTGATAATATCTACTTTTTGGAAAATAATCCAGACGAAGAGTTTATAATCTTACATGGAAAATATTGTCCTAACCGTGTATATATGTATTGGCCAACTTAATATAGCAATAATTCATTATTGCAAGCAGAGCAAAAAATAAACTTCAGATAATTCTTTCTAAAAATTTGTTGTCAATTTCAGTCCTCCGGATTTATTATAAGTTTATATATAAATTTTTAATAAATTTCTTGTGCTATCAACCAAATAACTCTTAAACAAATAAACTGCAGTAATTACAATGATTTAAAAAGTTTGGCGAATTAAGAATAAATAACATATATACTTTATACGTGTTCTTATTTTTTCAAACATTGACAAACGTAATATACCCACATTTAATATAATATGAGAATAAAAAATTTATTATTATACTAATTTGTTACTACTGCTTAATTTCTATTATTTATCTGATATTTTTATAAATTTCGTTCTAAATAATTACAGAATTTCATTCGATATTAATCTTTATAAAAGTGAATTGATAATTTTTCATTTGTCAATTATTTCAATTTTTTTCCATTCAGTGCAGAGTTCAGCTTTGGGTTAAAGAACAAATTATCTATTAGATTAATCTTAGGTTAAAGATATAGCACTTGAGACATTCATTAAAACACAAGTATAAATAGTTATTAGCTAACATATGTATATATGATAGTAAATTATATTAGAGAATCACTTTAAGTTTTATATTTTCAATACTAAATTAAAGTTTAAAATTTTTTACTTATTATCTTTAAATTTGAACTAAAAGTATAAAGGAATATACAGTAAAACTGTATACAAACTAATATTTTTATTGTACAATCAACAAATATGTAAATACATCATTCAAATCACTTTTAAAGCATAAATCAAAAGTAAATTCATTTTTAAGTAGTTATTCTTCATACTGATTTAGATAAATCTCAATTTAGCATATTCTTGAATTCTTCGTGATCAGGATCTAGATTGGTTTGCAAATTTGTAAAATGTACGTATTAATATATATTGGAATCTATTTATTTGTTGAGCAAAACGTCGTACTGAAATATGAATATTACTTCGTTTTATTATTTGAAGAGTACACAAATGTATTTTTTATAATTTTTATAATTTATAATTTTTTTGTTCTAGATATAAATTTTAAAAAATTGCAAAAGTTTGCGCTAAATGCAAGTTATAACACCAAGTAAAATTTGTTTCACAATTCTGGGTATTTTTCTTACTAAATTATGCGAAGAAATAATTTTGTCAAACAAAAATCTAGGCTTATGTGTGAACTTGACACGGAACAGATTTACCTTTACTAGCATAGTGCATTGTGTAATATTGCAATACACTGCATTTTGTTTCACACTTATTAGAACTGTAAATTACTTATTGTTACCACCAATATATAATAAGTGTCAAACACAAGTAAGAATACTATATTTGATATAGGAGAAAAAATGATTGTATCTTTACTATATATGTATCTTTACTATATATGTATATCTTTACTATATGTAAAAAGCTAATAATTCTATTTATGCTGATATTAAATTTTTTCAAAATCTTGATGTATATTGTTTCAAATGCATTTCATTTACAATAAAATAAATATATTTTCTGTTTTGAATAATAATCTGTTAGCAAAGTCAACTTAGATAAGATGTATATATATATAAATAAAACAAATATATATATATCGTTTTCAATATTATTTTGATTATAAAAATATTCTATTATATTACATTATATTATTTTAGTATAAAGTGTTTTCTTTATGATATTCTCAATATTCTTTTAATATTATTATTAATTTTTTAAAAGTAAAATTTTTTGAATGATAGTACAATTATATATAACAGTGTAATTTGTATATATGCCTAATTTAAATTCAGTTCATGGTATGGTTATAAAACAAAATGTGCACCCATACATTTTGGGCATTGAAAAAAAATTGCCTTTAAAGTGGGATCAGCATATTAAATTTTAAAATTTTAACCGCAAAAGTTGCTACTTTACGTCAAATGTAGTTAGTAAGAAATTTCTTTAAATATTATTAAAAAACAGTTATAAACAAAGTTATGTACTTAAGTACAAAATCACGCAGATACAATAACGTAAACGTATAAATTTGTATTTGAATATAAAATTTATTAAACTTAATTCAAAAACGAATCGAACTATTCTCCCTTATTTCAATAAAATAATGAAGCATTATTTAAAAATAATCTTTTTAAATATTTTTATATTTTTTTTCCAATAATATTTGGTTTTTACCAACGAAATATTATTATTTTATGTTATTAATGTATTATTAATAATTAATTATGTATTAATAATTTGTCAAGAATTACTTGAAAAAATAAATATTCAATAATATCAAGAATTTAATAATAAAAGAAATTCCAGTTTAATGATCACATTATATTGCTGTAAAAGACCATACTTATTTAATTCTTTTCAAAAATTAATTAAAATTAGTTTTTAAAACTAACCCAGCTAGAAACAATAATGTATTGTATCCACATATATATATGCTAAATTACTAAATTACCTTAAATCATACTTTCAAATATGTATAAAGATCTACTACAAATTATACTTTCAAATATTAAACACATCAGTAAAATATAAATTTTTTATTTAAATTTTTATGAAATATTTATATATTTATCATTTATATATATATTTATATTTATATTAATATGTACTTGGTTATATATTTGTATTAATTATTTATATTAATTTTTTTTAGTTTTTTTTATTACTAATATAAATATTAACACTTTATAACATGCCTAATAAAGAAATTGTATTTTCAATTACAGACGCAAAAAATTTTACACATTCTAATTAATTAATTTTCTGTGAAATAAACAAATTAACTTTTTTTAATATTTGTGTAACCAGTACAAATTTCCAACAAAAGTAATTAATTCCCATTGAAGTTCTCACTATTTTCATATTATTTTATTAATACGAATTGTATAAGCTTATCAGTCAAGAATTTTAGATAACTAAAATGAAACATTTTACACATTTCTTTACTCTTTAATTACACTTTTAGATAATTGCATTTGTAATTATTATTTTTTATCAGTAAAAATACTTATATTTTTTAATTTTTTAATAAATAGAAATGTTTATAAACTCACCTGAAATACAAATGTAAACATGTGCAATGTTGGCGGTATTTGAAAGAGACACAAAGTAATTGTCCATATTAATTGCCATTTACCAATGTGACCTATCAAGTCAGAGATCACATCGCTTTCTTCATCCTCATTGTTTTTTTCTTTATTATTTCCGATGAAATTTTGTGATGTCTCAGGCAGTTTGAGTACATCCTTCTTTAAATCTTCTGAGTAACGACGAAAATCCAATGCTATCACACTGATTTCCGGTGTTCGTGGCTTAGAATCACGATATCCGCCATATAAATTTGACTCAATACTACCGCGATTGCTTTTCCCATTGCAATCGAAATTTAAGGAACCACGACGCAGAACACCACTCATTTTCACGAATTCGGTTTTCTTAATTTTAAATTTATCACGTTTATATTAAAATGTTTAGCAAAGTATTTTATTATTTTAACTGCATATAATTATATACAAAACCACAAACTATTTATATTTTTATAATAAATTGCACTTTAATTTAATTGCTTTAAATTTCCATAGAATTTTATGATTTTTATTTTTTAATATATTTTAATTAACAATGCTTAGTTATATATACTAAATACTTAAAAACATTTTTATATATGAAATTTATTTTATATGAAATTTTTTAAACAATTGTTAAGATGTTCACCGTTTTTTGGTTTGAAACGATCTAATTAAAAATACCGTTTGTGCGGCTGTTATAAATCGAAAAAATTTTATTTCCTCTGTTAACTTAACATGATCGCTTGAAAGCTTTCTACGCTCATTAAAAGTTTATAGCAGATTTAATGCTATTAACATTGCAAAAGTTTAGTGTTGTTAAATGGAAGCAATGTAAACGAATATTGTTTTAACTTTATAGAGGCAGTTATTTTAAAAAGTATATAAAATTTTAAACTTTTTTCATATAAATAGGTAAAAGAGTTTACAATAATACGTATACAATTTCTAAATACATTAAATATGGCATTTGTAAGAAAATTATTATTTTAACAGAGTTTTTGTTTCAAATTTAAAACAAAAGAATTTCAAACCAGTTGTTTTGCATTTTTAAGTATCTGTATCTGTTTTAATATAATGTTTTTTAATTTTTGTTAGAGATAACTATGGGATACCAATTATTGGAACAAATGCATGAATTGATTTTCAGCAGCTGATTCTATAAATAAATTTTAAAAAATTTAAATTGTAGGAATGTTTTGAAATTACCATAAATTTATTTTTAAAAATTTTTAATAATTTATTAAAATTTAATACAAAGCACAATCAGCTGTACATAACTGTACGCACTTTTTTCGTAAGATTTCTAGATTGCTAAATGTTCTACATTCATTCATCATTGTTCTACTCTGTTTTATATATAGCGACAGTTTTAAGTTATATGTAATATTTCCAATGCGAATTCCATGAATTTTTAATACTGCATCTAAAATCTGAAACTATTTTAATTAAGCTGTTTAGAGCATTTTGTAACATTAGAATTAGAACAATATGAATTCATGTATGCTCTTATATAATGATGATTTTTAGAATCTACTTTGACCTGATAGTCTATTGCGATGTCCACTACAACAGAAACTTGTATTACACAATCACAAGACGAATGTGAAGTATTTCATTTATTTTTATCATATACTCTTAACATTATATGTTTAACTATTCCTCAGTTTTGGAAATAGTTATCATATAAAATAGTTTTTTAGGACTGTAATCAAGTTGTAAACCAAAAGAAATATTGAGAATCAATATATTTCTCTAAAATTTGCCTTCAATATTGTTTAGATTTGGTATTAGATAAATATTTTTCATAATATTATTTATCATACCACAATAAACTTGTGTATATGGGAGATATATAATGGTTATATTGTTAATTTTGTATATCGGATTTCATTTTAACATAGTGGCTTCACAAATTTATGAAGATCAGAAAAACTTGCTTACTACTTATTGTTGATGTATTTTTAGGAAAGAACAATAATAAGACATAGGAATAAAAACACTATTTGATTTTCTTTATATCCGGTTTTATTATGTATAAAAAAACACATTTATAGGATTTCCTGTAGAACTTATCATAACATATTTGTAACTGCTACCAGCATTCACTCTACAAGTGTGGAAAAAATAGAGAAAATTTAAATTTATTATTTTTATCATTGTTAAGAAATCACTAACAAAACGTGAGAAAACGGATTTTTTAAATACTTAGACATTTTATTATTATAAATCAAAACTTATTATATATTAATTAAATTTAATATGTGTGATATTACTAAAAAATTCTAGTGAATCATCTCTTCAAAGTTTGATTAGTGAACGATTATATATTTCTAGAAACTTTGTTTGAGTCTTTGTTATGAATGAAAGCTTTATTCAAAGCTTTTAGTTACTATAACAAAGTTTAACTTGTTGTAGGTCAGTGTACAACCAACATAACACGCAAATAATAACTCATGAACTAAGCAATCAAAGTGAAAAGATTACACTGGTATACAAAATATTTATTTGCTTTAGAATAACAAAAATATAAGTTATATCTTTAAATATATTTATTACTTAACCTTTAAATAAATAAATAAAGAAATTTTATTTACAGTTAGTCGATAAATATTATATTTGAAAATACTTAGCTAATTTCATTCACTATATTGCAGCTATATTACACAAAGTAGTTACTTTGCATGTTATAAGGAAAAATTCTGGGAACATAGTTTATAATGTCCAACTATTTCACCCATTGCTCTTTTTAACCTATTTTCTCTAATAAAGTTTTATCAACGGAATTTTCTAAATATTATTTCGTGAAGAAAACTTATCAGGAGGTTGAAAATAGTAGCCGTTATAACTGTCAAAAGGTTTTGGGCCTGACGACCATTATTTTTTAATAATTTACAATAATTAACGGAAATAGAAAACGATTGCATTGGAAGAGATAGCAATGGTTCGAAGCAAAATACGGAAAGTACTTTATGGAGTCGAAACTTCAACTTATTACTATATATTAATCATTTATTATTATTGTACTATGTAATAATAAATGAATGAAATATCTTAACTGGATTATATTTTGCTAAGATTGATGTAGTAAATTACGGCATTAGAACACGAACACAACTTGTAATTTAATGTTATTATATGATTAACAAACTTCATTTTGTATAAACCCTTGTAATGATTGATATAAATATATCAGTGTGAAATTTGGACCCTTAAGATATAAAACCTAAGTAGATAAACATATTTAAAAGAAAATTAAAGTGGATCGGTCCAACTAATTCCAACAGAATTCGTTATAAGTATTTATTAAAGAATTTATCATATAATATTTTTATAAGAATTATTAACATTTTGTGTTAAATAAAAATGCATTTTAAATTTACATTTTAAATATTTTATTATACATATTTAATTTAATAAATGTAATTACGACAAACTTACACCTCTGATAAATTATTTTTATTAAAATACATACATATATTCGACGCAAATAACTATACTAACAACTATACAATTAATATTTCATATAAAGTTTCAATATTATATATTCAATACAATTTTTAGTTTTTTTAAAATAGTTGAGCAATTTGAATTGTACTACTTTAACACACAAAAGTTATAATTGTTTTATATTTATATTCAAATATATTAAAATTTTTAAATATGTTTAGAAATATATAATCTTGTGCTTAACATGTAAGTACAAAAAATAAAAAAAAATTAATAATATATTTAATTAAGGACAGTTTATAAAATTTACAAAAAAAAATTATTTTACATTTAACTTATATAATAAATATCTAAATTAATAAGTACATAGAAATTTATTAAAAATAATAAAATGTATGAAATAAAATCAGACACAAAATGGTTTTTATGTGTTTGTATAAAATACAATAATAATTATAAAATAATGAGTAACGTTTATAGTTTTTATTAAATTAAGAAAAAAGAAACAATTTTGAATTAATATTTAATTATTAATATTTGAAATTGTTAAAACTAATTTTATATCATGTATTATAAAAAAGAACATGTTTTTTGTTTTTTATAGAACAGTTTTTTTATATAGAATATTAAATGCATTACAAAATACAATGAGACTCTACTTATTTAATTATTTTATTTAAAATATAAAAATTTTATAATAAAACTTAAATGCAGCTTTTAAGTAATACATGGAAAGACCGTTAAGAAATTTGTAAGGATTTTTTCTGAATACTTATATTGCCTGAAATTTAAATGCATGAATAATTCATATTAGTTAAATAATTTATTCAATTTAACAAATAAATTTATAATGTTACTGTATGTGGAATTAATTTGGGGAGAAATTATTACTTTCAAAATATATATTTATATTACACACATATAACAAATATAAAGGAATAATGTTAATGTCAAAAAATATATTGATAAATATATTATATAAATTAGGTATAACCATTTTATATCATTTAGTAACAAAAAAATTAAATATTTATTAGCACGTCTAATATTGTTTATTAAATGCAAAAAAAAATTGTTTTTAAATTGGTTTTATTAATGTATATAAAAAAAGAATTAATTGCAAGCTAATAGAATTACACTATTTTTTAATGAAACAGTACTTTAAAATATTCAGAAAACTCTTTAAGTGAGCCTTCAAATATTAAGTCCCTTCATTAAATTAAAATTGTATAGAATTATTATACGAATTCTATATAAAAAATATATTTCACAGTGTTTCATTCTAATATACGTAAATAAGCCGACAGTTGCCAATTGAATATTAAATTAGTTTTGTTTTAATAAAACTAGATAATTAAATTTATAATAATAAAAATTTTTATAAATAGGATATTATATTTGCTTTACTAAAATATTTAATTAAAATATCAAGCTAGTGTCTTGATATTGTTATGTGCTTTTAAGTAATATACGTACATAGTAATCAGATATGAAGAATGTCACAAGAGTTTTAAGTCTGTTGATATTTATTCAATGCACGAATATGTATTTAATGATTCCAATCAAGTTTATTTGATTTTTATTTTATTTAAATTTATTATTTTAAGTTTCGGCTATATTTTCTGCTTTATGAAATTGGTGCACTTTGCTGTTATATCTAATTTTCAGTATAACTGAGACTAACTACATATAATATAAAACAAAAATTTTTCATGGAAGTAAGTAAATTTTGTGACAGTTTTGAAATAATTTTTTTTAAAACTTTACTAAATGCTATCTTTTTTTAAAAAATTTATCCGTAAAATATTAAACACTATTTTATCTATTTGGTATTTTAAATTTTAGAATCTATAGATTTACTTCATACTATTTTATTTGTGTTTTATTTACTTAAAAGCTGTATTTAAGCTGCACATTACAATATTTAATATTTGAGTTTATAATTATATGTATATTGTATATTTTTTTTTGTTCACTATAATTGACTTAATTTATTCTTTGTTGCATTTTATTAACATATCATTTAATTTTACTTTCAATTTAATAGAATTTGTAAAACATTTTTTTTGTTTTTGGATTAAAAATTTAATTTAATTGATGTGTTGCAAATTGACTACTTACTATATTTAATTAATTAAGTAATTGAAAATTTTACAAATACACATTGACATAGTAATTGGGTTTGCTACATTATAGACTAGGTATTGCGCAACATTTAAAAAGAGATTTTTCAAACTCTTATATTCATTTAATATAAAACTATATAATTAAAAAAGAGTTTTCATACAGTATTTTTCATATAAAATGGCGATATATTTAAATATATGTGAGTTGTAATTGTAACTTTTCATTATTTGATGGTACTATTATGAATTACTTTGTGCATATTTTATGTCAAAGTTTACTAAATATCGATCAATTTTTCATATCAAAAATATTCTAAGAATTATTCAGCTTAGACACCAATAATTCTTTCGTTTACGTGTGTGTATTCGTTTCATATGCCGTACATCTCTTACAAAAACAGTTATTTTTAAACACAAGCATTCTTTTCATTCAAAATCTATTCGATTGCATATTTTAACGAAATTACTTACGTGCATATTAAATGTCAAAAAGTCAAAATTTGAGTGGACATTTTGCTTGGTGGTGGTAATTAACATATCAACTGCCAGTGGTTAAACTATACTGTACCGTGTAAGAATCTGAATCTTTGTTTATATTTATTATTATAGCGCAATACACCTGTCTATATTGATAAACATTAAATTTTGCTCATGTTTTAAATTTAATTTAGTATATGTATTTTGTTTCATTTATTTCAAATTTTTTATATAATTAATTTAATTATTATTTTAAATATATATATTTTAATTTTTATTCATATTTTTTTATATATGTTTAGTTTTTCTTTATTTTTAATGTTAAATTTTTACATAACCTTTTGTTATGGCTACATTAGATCTGTTTCAAATAAAAATACATGAAGTTATTCATAAGAAAATTATTATCCCTTATTAATTTTTGGATATTTATATAGTATTAAACAGAAATACTTAATTAAACTTTTTAACTGCATGCAAATTTGTACAACAAAATGGTCCTGCCTGTATAGTACTCTATTTATATGTATTATTTTAAGCTTTATAAATAAATTTATTTAAAAACTAATATAAAAATACAAAAAAAAAAATTTATATAAATTTTATTATTTTTTTATAAATTTCACTGAAAGATTTGAGTTAATATGAATTTTAAAGGTCAAAGAATATTTTATGGTGGCTTTAGATTTTAAATAAATGCTGGATTATATGCCATAGTTTTAGTCACTCTTGCTACTTTCTTCGTTGTCAAAGCAATCTAGCTGTTTTAAATCAAATTACCTTGCAAGGTAAAACTGCTTGTTTCCTTTGCTTCAACTACGGCACTAATTCTCTTAACTAACTTACCTCAGTTGTTATAAAATTGCTTGTGCAGTTAATATCCTTTGGCCGTTTGCTTCATATGTAATAAAAATATTTGATATGTCGTATGTGTTGCTAATATGTTTCATATGTTTTATATGTTGTATGTGCTGAATTTTGGACCAGCCAAAATGTTTATTTAAATAAAATTATACCTATTTTACTGCCTTTTTCAAATATAAACATATATACTGTTTACTATAAATATGTCAGTAAATAAGTATATCTAAATTTAGGAGTAATTTGCATGTACATTAAAGTTGTTTTTATTAATAGTTGATGCTAAAAATTTCTTATTTATTTAACATCTGCAAAAAAAAAATAAAATTTAAATAATTTAAACAAAATTATTAGCGAGCACAGTGCCTCTATTATATTAACAATTTTTCTTATTATCTTCTTCCGATTATAATTTGTATACTTTACAAAGAGTATAAAGATATACTACTTTTAAAATTAAAATTAAATATTATAGGTGTGGGTGGAAAAATTTCTTACTAGGGGGTTGTTCCCTTACAAGAACGATTCAAATTCAAAATATAAAACAAATATTTTTTGGTACGTTTTTGGAAATTTAATTGAATAGAAATATCAATTAGATCAACTACTTTTTAAAAATACTTCTAAAATTTAAAATTTTGAATTTTAATTTTTAAGTAGTTTTATGATAAATCTAAATCAGAAAAAAAATTTTCAATGTATAATTTAAATAAATTTTTTTTTTATTTATTATTGTTGTTGTTTTGATGAATAAATGATTAATATTTATAATTTAACATAAGCAATTTTAGTTATTCAATTTTATACAATTTTCAATGAATCTTCATTATCTACAGAGCTGACTATTTAAAAAAATATTCTGAAATGTATATAAATTTTAAAAGCGCCATGAGTCAGTATCTCTTAGAAAAAAATTTATATATGCAATATTATGCAATTAGAAATAAGTTCTTATCGGAGAAGAACCAGAATAATTTTAAATAGAATAGAGGATAGTATGGATATATATTGTATGTATATTAACCAACTTACTTTTCTTCAGTGGGATTATTGATTGTATGCTCCAGCATACTTTCTGGTAAGAAGGAAACAACAATACCTCCGAAAAGACTTGAGAGTGTAAGTAGTAACATTAACAAATGACTTTGAATTTTTGTCTTCGAGTTGTAAGAAAAAAAAAGAAAACAATAATATATAATAGTTGTTATTTTTTTAAAATTATATAAATAATATTTATGAATAAAACTGCATTTTACAAAAATGTCACATAATCAGTGTAACAAAATTAATGCATTAAACCATTCTAAGTAGCTCTTTTGGGCATTTAATTTCATTGATAATAACTTACCAATAAGGATAGATAAGGTGTTATAATTAAAGCAATACCAGCAGCAACATTACATGCACCAACACCAACATTTCTTATGGCTGTTGGATATAATTCAGCAGTATAAACTGGCATTATTGTATTACCAGCGCTAATCGTAAATTTTCCTGCAAAATTGAGAATTTATATGTATGAATACTCAAATGTACTTCAAGATAAGAATACTATATAATTTTAAAACATTTTTTATAAAAAAAAATCTCACCGATCATTAAAAAGGTTATTTTTAGCCAAAGTAACTCTTCTAGCCCCTCCGTTATTGTTGCAAACAAACAAGCAACACTGGCACAAATGAAAGTAGCGCAAAAGAGCCATTTTTTACCTACTTTTGTTATAATATATATGGCTATGGCAATTGCAGGAATTTCGACTAGACCAGCTAAAGCCTATAAAAAAAATAAAAAGAAAATGTGAAAAGCCATTGTATGAGAAATAAAACAAATAAAAAGCTTAAATAGGCTTTCAATTTGTCAAAAGGTCAAAAATGTAACCGCAAACTATACAAATAAATCAGTAACAGATAAGATATACAAAAAAATTTTTAAATAATACAAAAAAAAATAAAAATTAATATTGTCTGTTAAAAATTTCTATAATAAAATGAGTTGTTTAATATATTTTGGCACAACACCAAAATATATAATAAATATATTAGAGATCTCTTGAAATTCAAAATACTTGCTCTTCGCAACTTAATAAATCATTATCATCAAATTAAAGTGAACATTGGCAATAAAAATAATTATTAACACTATGCTTTCATCATAATCCTCTGGTTTATATATCTTTTATGTATTTAAGAATGTGTTCATGTATATCCAAAATATTAGGTAAGCAACTGACATTATCAAGAGAAAACTGTATATTTAATTAATGCAATTAAGTTCTTTTAGTAACGTTTGCTCCATGATCAATTGTAATTATTAAATTAATCTTTACCCTTTTTTATTTTAATTCATTTTTTATTTTTATTAGCTTTTTCCTGCTTACTGTTAGCTCTTGTTATAGACTTAATGAAAAAGTTGTCAGTTCAGCAAGAACGTTATTTTCTTCTTAAACGAGCTTGTAGCTCTTCAGTATGCATACCCATACCTTAGAAATCATTTTTTGATCTATCATGGACATGACAGTCCGCTTCACTGAGAGCCATTTAGCTAGAAATGATTCTTTAGGTAGCTAAATGCTTCTTTAATCCTTGAGATGTACTTAGAATTACTATATGTATACAACATATGAGCAGCATTCTGATTTTGTAATATTTAATTATCTCTCAATCTATCTACTAATCCATCTATCTACTAGCCAATAATAAAACTGGTCAACAAAGATTTTGCCCTAGAGACGTTGTTGAGTGATCCTAGACGTATTTTGCGTGCTGATTCCAAATCTGCATTTAGATTCTTTCTATTAAGTCTAGATTCTTTAGAACAGTTGAATGTATGTTTTTGCTATAACGAAAGTAGAAATTTATTTTATTTATATGTGATATATATATTATACGAGTATATTATTTTCGTGAGACAGTGTTATAAACTTTATTTTGATTGTCCGTTGGGTGACCAGGATAAAGGATGGGTGCCTCACGTAATTTGCACCGCATGTGCAAGACTTCTTACTAGTTGGACTGAGGGAATACGTCATATGAAATTAGCCGTCCTCATGATTTGGCGTGAACCTATGGATCATTTTTCAGACTGTTATTTTTGTTTAACAAAAATTAAAGGAATTTAATCAAAGTCAAAACACACAGTAAAATATCCAAACAACCTGCAATCAGCGATACGACCGGTTCCTCACTCTGAATATTTACCAGTGCCGAAACAACCGGAAAATGTTAATCCTTGCGAAGATTCTGATAGCAATGAAGAATGTAAGAATGAACGTAGCCCAAATACAAAGGAGTCATCTTATAACGCAAGATGATTTAAACGATCTAGTGCGCGATTTAAAATTGTCTAAAAAGAAGAGTACAATCTTACGATCACGATTAAAGGGTTAGAAATTGTTGGATCCAAAAACTAACATTTCTATGTATCGATCTCGCTATGATGAATTTAGGTTATTGTTTTCTCAAGAAAACAACCTTTTTTTTTGCAATTATTTTTTTCTCTCTGTTATGGGTACTCTTAATTTTGAATACACCGATGATGATTGGCGTTTGTTCATTGATTCTTGCAAGGTCAGTTTAAAGGCTGTTCTCCTACATGATGAAAATGAGATCCCCTCAATATCGTTAGCCCATGGAACTGACATGAAGGAATCTTACGAGAATATGCAGTTACTCTTAACAAAAATTCACTACGAAAGATATTAAGTGGAAAATTTGTGGTGACTTAAAAGTTATTGCAATTTTACTAGGCTTACAACTTGGATACACGAAATATTGTTGCTTCATCTGTGAGTAGGATGGCAGAGACAGAAAATTGTATAACTTGAAAAAAGATAAGCCACAACGTAAAGCACTCGTTCCTGGAACCTGGAATGTCCTTTTCCAACCTTTGCTCGATTCTAAAAATATTCCTTTGCCAACTCTGCATATTAAATCAGGACTTTTTAAAAATTTTGTTAAAGCTATGAACAAACCATCACCATTTTGATGGTTTTACTTATTTGAAACAAAAATTCCCTAAAATAAGTGAGGAAAAGATTAAAGAAGGTTTTTTTATTGGGCCACAGATTAGTAAAGTGCTGAAGAATTTAGAATTTCAAAAGTGATTGAAATTTCGAGTGGAACTCATTAAAAAATGTAATTGAATATTTTCTAGGAAATATCATGACTGCAAATTATCGCGATCTAGTGGCTAATCTAATTGAAATATGCCAAAAAATGGGCTGCAATATGTCTTTAAAACTTCACTTCCTTCACTCTCACCTGGACTTTTTTCCACCAAATCTTGGCGCCTTTAGTGATGAACACGGTGAGCGTTTTTAGCAGAATATTTTACACATGGAAAAACAGTACCAAGAAGATTTCATCAACATGTCAGCATATTACTGCTGGCCACTAAAAATGAACTTGCCAGATGTTCAATATGCGAGAAAATCCTAAGTAAGTACCATTTTTTAAATTAACGATTTATTTGCTGAAACCCCCTTAAATTACCCGTTAGTCCGGTTGTTTTCAGAAAACTAGACGTGAGAAAAAAAATCTGAGCCCAAATTCAGAATCAGCACGAATAATATCTCTAGCATCACCCAACAGCATATCTGGGACAGAAAAAAATTTTTTTGACCTGTGTAATCAACTAATAATGCTAATAATTTTTGTAGAAGGTATTATATGTAACTCATTGATTTCTACTGAAAATTGCATCTATGCTAAATAGTATTATCTGTTATTATTGTCACTGATAAGATTAATTTGTTAATCTTTGTTAATATTGTCTTAAATGTTAAGTATAGCGTTCCATAAACGTGAATATATTAGAATAGAACTAATAAAAAACTAACTTGGATGGTTTTTTGAATTCTTTTTTGATGGTGTTAATTGTTTATTCCTAGTATTGTTATCCATTCATTTGTTTCGTTGAGCTTTAGCAGAGATCAAACATTGCATTTTAAAATGTTATATATCCGTTTTAAACAATTGAGGACAAGAGACTATATATTTTATAATCATATTTAAATTGTTGTTGTATTAGGAGTATTGTTGCTAACATTGTGCTTTAGATATTCTAAAACTGTTTGTAAATGTATTTGAACAACAGCTTGTAATTGTGGAATAGTTTAAATAGAATAGTTTAAATAGAACTTAAATAAAAGTTAAAATAGTGGAAGCTAAACCAACTTACCAATCTCATTGCTATATCTCATATTCCTAAGAACACGATTTATATATTACATTAAGACCGAAAAGTTTTCGGAAATTTTCATTTAAAATTCGCGCGCTGTATATTTTTCGATATTTTAAGTTTATGTAGTTTGGCAGCAATTAAGGACAATTACTATGCCAAAAATGAGCGCGATCTGTCAGACAGTTCGTTTACGGCAGCTGTTGAAACCAGTTCACCTCAGTAGTGCGTTGCGAAAAAAACAATGGAAAAAAATATTGAACAAAGAGTGTGCATCAAATTTTGTGTTTCGAACGAAATTTCGTGTGCAGAATCGTTGCGAATGCTACAAAAGGCTTATGGGGAATCAGTTTTATCGAAAACTCAAGTTTATGAGTGGTACAAAGCCTTTCAGGACGGTCGTACGACCGTCGAAGACATTTCGCAACGCACTACTGAGGTGAACTGGTTTCAACAGCTGCCGTAAACGAACTGTCTGACAGATCGCGCTCATTTTTGGCATAGTAATTAAGGACACTGCTGCCAAACTACATAAACTTAAAATATCGAAAAATATACAGCGCGCGAATTTTAAATGAGAATTTCCGAAAACTTTTCAGTCTTAATGTATATTTTCTATAATTAATGGTTTAGTGAGTTCTCTATTTCTGTGAGATATGAACAGGTCTTTAGCTATCATTAATCTTTTTGGCACTTTAAAAAAAAAATTATTTAACAGCTAGTTATTTGATTACTAGTTAATAATTTTTAATAATGCCGATTTGTTTTAGCAAGGTAATAATAGATCGGTGATAAATAAAAACATAGGAAACAATGCATACCTATCCCTACATTCACAGGGTGAGAAATTTAGCATTAAGTTTATGTTCAGGTGACAGTAAAACCAATGAGTTGTTTAAAAATTTATGAAAACTGTTATAAAATATAATTTTAGATGAGAATAGATCTTTTCTGCTACAAATGATCCAAAATAAGAAAAGAATATTTAAATTTTGGACGAGAAGTAAGAAAGTTTCTAATATCAAATGGTAATCTTCCACCGCAGTAGTCAAAAATAATTAGAATAGTGGTCTCATTTTCATTCAGTTAGACAGCATAATAGCAAGAAATTGAATTATTGCAGTTTCAATATGATCTTTAAACGCCTTAATACTATTATTTCATTACGTAGAATTTTATTTTTTAAGAGTTAAATGAAATCTGTTGTTGAAGATAATTGATAAATGAGTTTCTTGCCGTTCTGTTACGATAAATTCATTGAAAAACTCGTTGACATTCACTAAACAAATTCAATTATGACATGGTAAAAGACATTTTGAAGATTTTAGTTGAGATGAGTAGTATTGTGTCAGTCCCACTTTTGGACAGTTTGTAGCTGTCAACAAATATTAAATCAAATCAAATTTACAAACCGGAAATGAATGTAAACTTAGTGTGCTTGGAATGTGCTCTCTAATGGATGTTTAATATTTTGTAATACGTTTAAAAGATTAAACAAGAGCAAAGCAATTAAGCCTAATGAAAAATAATAAAGTAATTTTGTGCAACTTTCCATGAAGCTAAAATATTTCTATTATTCTCGAAGCATAAAATGAAAAATCAACTAATAACAAAATGAACTATTATTGAAAAGGTAAATGTTTACAAAAATGCTAATTAACACTTACCGAATTTAAATAAACATTTCCACCAAATGAGCTCATATTCAATATGAGGCCATAATATACCAAATTCATGGTGAACCAAATGCAAAGGAAGCAAATGGAAATGCGGCGTAAATAGCGTGAACGAAACAAGGACATGATATCCTGTGATGTGTTCTCCTGTGTGGGTGGCTTTAGCATACTTTGGAAATTTGGCGGTAATTGACGTCCATTAAAATCAGCCGCTGACTGCACAATGCGTTTTACTTCATCAACACGTCCCTTAACCAGCAACCAACGCGGTGATTCTGGGACTACAAACCTATTGGAAAAAAGGTGAATAGGTTTTTTGTTAAGATTTTTTTTGTTGTAAAAATGAAGAGCATTGATAAATAAGTAAAAGTTTTTCCATTACTGCTCACTATAATTAACAAGAAAAACTGTTGAGTCATGTGAGAAATTTCAACATGTGCGAATAAAAAAATATAAAAAGAATAAAAAAATAAATAGAGAAAAGAAAATATAGAACATTTTAAATTAACACCCACATGGTCCATGCAATACGGCAGACAGACAAATGTGTTGCTTTTTATTTACGTTTAATGCGTTACGCCGACGGACCACTAAATAATGGACACAGACACAAATGTTTAGCAAAGTGTCCAGAAACATACGTTTCAAATTATTTTTAATTAATTTTAAATTTATTTTTTAATTTTTTTTGGCGAATAATTTTCTAAATTTTATTTAATATTCACTTAATATTATTATTTTATTTAAAATTAATTTTTGTTTTTAAATATTTACTTTTGCTTTCAAACTAGCTGAAAGGTGCCAGAGATGCCAATATAAATGTACACTACTAATTATTTGTTAATACGAACAGTTTACAATAAGTTTTTTAATTTTTTACTTATTTACATTAGTAAACGGTATTTAAAATTTTTATTCAAATCTTCTCTGGTATCGCAATAGATCTTAATGGGGTACGCGTGGCCTTTTTGGACTGCCAGTATAACCTCGTTTAATATATTGCTTATAATTTTAATAACAACTACTTCTATGCATATACTTGTATTTTTTCATATACATTTATTGATATTCAGATGTCTGAGTTGGTGAATCAGCACCTTTACTCTATTTTATCTGTGGACAATTTTAAGTCACACTAAATACGGGGCTTTACGGGGCTTTATAATATGATGGATCTGATATCTTTGTATCTGCCATTTTAATAAATCATGTATATACTATTAAATATTTCAGTTTTAATTTTTTCAATAGTCGCAAATGCATTTTCAAGATGTTTTCAACAAACGCTGACTTAACATATTCAAAGTTAAACCAATAGTTAATAGATACACTTTTCAAATACATTAAACTTTAAATAAGTTGGCATTTCACACAGCATAGTTATTAAATAAAAAGTTTAAATTTTTTTTTTGGAAATTTTAAACTTAAAAAATATTTTTTAAACCTGTAGTGCGTGGTATGTACGAATTCAATGTTTATTTTTCAAATAAAAATTAAAATTTCAAAGGCTACAAATTTTATTTTTTGTTTTTTTTTTTGTGAATTTTATGCTTCAATTTCTGAAAATTAACTATATTCACCATATAATTAAAAAGTTGAATTTTTCTCCTTTATTAAAACTTTACTAAGAACGATTTTATTTAAATTTGTATCTGATATATATTTATACTTACCACAAAAAACATAGAAATATGCCGGGTATGCCAATACAGAGTTGCAGCCTCTGATAGTCTTGCGTTAAATACGCTATGCCCGATATGAGCATATAAGATATTGGCAGTGGGAATAGGTTGTACATGCCAGCAATTGTGCGCCATTTTCCGTCCACACATTCAATGGCGAGTATAAGAGCCGAATATGTGACCGACACAGAAACAAGACCCAGTAATGCACGCAATGTTAAGTATAACTCAAACGAAGTGACGAAATATAATGCTAAGCCTACAAAAAATAAATAAAATGTCAGTAGAAATAATATCATTACAAAGACTTCCAAAACTACTCTCAAATTTACTATAAAATTCTAAACTTAACTGAAAGACAAATGCATTTCTAAAAAAATATAGAAATGTCAGAACCAGGATTCCAATAGATTCCAATAGAACCGAAAAAGGAAGCGTATTACCAATTAAAGCCTCCATCTTATAATACCAATTTCTTGATTATAAAATAGTTTAATATTGTTTACATTTGCATATATGCAGATATGATTTAAATTTAGAATTCCGCTGATTATTCAAAAATAATTTTACTGATTAAATTTAAGTGGTATTAATAAAGCAGTAGGTCTAATCGGTATGAAGTAAGCTATTTAAAATATTTTTCCCTTATAAATTTATTAAAATTTAATTATCTATAATGATAAGAAAGCCTTTTGTAGCAGAATAGCTAAAATCTTACTTCTTTGTTCGAATAAATTTGGATATTTTTGACTATATAATTTATATCCATCATTTTCATATGCAAACGTTTTGGCTCATGTTTATATGTTTATTTTAAAAGCGGATATCACAATAATTTTATTTTACATAATGTTCAACATAAAATCAGTATATTAAATTTCATAAAATCAATATGAAACAGGAAGTGACAGAAGGACATACTTGCTATAAATAAGTTCATATGTACATCACATACCAGCACCTTTAATAAGTTCTTGAACAAATGTTAAAAATCATTCACTAGAATCAAATTAAAAAGCCACTCAACAGAACAAAACTAATGAATGCCATTTAAAATGTATCATCAACATGGCAAAACGTCATACCCAAGGATGCAAACATCACACATGTTGGCAGAGATCGCGGTCACTTGCCATTGCAACAGCTCAAATGTCAAAGTCATTTCTAATTGCTTCTAAAGGTTAGAAGTACAATGTTTTTTATATTTTCCATTTCGAATACATTTTTCATTTACAGTTTTTACTCTTTGCCCCCTCATTTCACAATGTAAAGCACATGCATAGAGACGTACTATGCTAGCCTGTCTGTAGATTTTAGATTGTTTCTTCCCTTGCTTATTTACTTACTTAAAGCAATTGTTGCATATTGTTCAACAATAATATTTCAACTTACCGAAAGTTGTCTGCAGCACAGCAGATATGAACAACATTTTTTTGCGCCCAAATTTGTCAGACAAAAAACCGGATATTATACCACCTGTTGCCACGCCAAGTAGAAAGAACATTTCAGCTACATTTATTAAGTACTCCTTGTCGCACACCAAATCCCATTCTGAAGTCCAAGTGTTGCCAACGTTGTCATCGTTCTCATATTCCCAAGCAGAGCACGAAATGCGGGTAGTGTTTTCTTGCAGTTGCTGTTGAAATGTGAAAGATAAAAAAGCATTTCATTCAAATGCGCTTAATGCAAAAAAAAAGAAAATAATATCTTTTCACTCAAATGCAAGTCATTTATGTTAGTATTCAGCAATGAGTAAGTTAAATAAATGATTTTAGTATTGTATTTCGCTATATACCTGCTGTGCTGATGTATTGTTTGAAATTCGATGCCAGTCGATGTATGCCTGAAAACAATTGTCTTGCGATTGACTTAAATTACGCCACACACCCACGTCCACCTCTTGCAAATGTGGTGGCCGCTTACACCAAAACTGTTTATGAGCACCCTAAAAATATTTCTCTTGTTTGTTACTATATATATCATTAGTGTTGCTTTGTCTGTCCACTTACCTGATATACTGACGAGGATATGTGAAATGTGTTGGGTACTTGGAAGAGTGAGAGCAAAAGTGTCATTAGGAACTGCCATTTTCCGTAATGTCCTACCAAATCACCAATCACATCAGTCTCATCGTCATCAGTATTACTTTGTGCATGTGGTGGTTCAGCAGATCTTGCCGAGCTTTTACGTTTGGACTGTTTATATACATGCAGCTGTTGTTGCGGACTGGAGGCATTATTTGTTGTATTATCTGTTTGCAGATAACCTGCTTTGCCTATTGACGGACTTATCGTTGTGGTATTTGTTGTGACTGCTGCAGCCGATCTTATTACATCACTAATCGGGGAGTTTAGGGTATTATTTTGTGCTACATGTTGTTCAACATCATCAGCATTGATGGTGGTGGATGATATGTTTTTTGTAGTTTCATCACTGTTTATTTCTGGGGACGGTTTATGTATGTGCATTTTATATGAAGGAGCTAAAAAGATGATATCTGAAAGATGTATAATAAATTAATGCACTATTTCATAAAATGTTATAGAAATTTTTATTAAGGATTGATAAGTTTTATTATTTTATATACATTTTTAGGATCCATAAAAAACTTAATAAAATGTAAATTGTTTTTATAATTATTTGGAATTTAATAACAATATACACTTTAATAATATTAATGTTAGACAATAATTTTTTAATATATAATGGCAGATCGATATGTTGTTACAACATCTGCCAAGAGAAGTCTACAGTATCTTCTGTGAGGAGTGTCCGATTAAAATTATCTGATATGAAAAGAAAAGCCTCATTCCCTTACCGGCAGAACCGTACCTAAGTCATTATGTCCCACTCTCTTCAAATAGTAGCACTAGACAAAAACTGACCTTAGATGAACTATTAAAACTTTTATATTTGCCCAGTTCAAACTTATTGAACAGTAATACCTAGATTACATTATTTCTCATTAATACTTGTGTAGTTTTACATCTTTTTGAAGAACACAAACGTAAAATGTTTGTACTATTTACCAATTTTTATTTAAAATTTTAACTTAAATATAATTTATACATTTAAATATATTTGTATATATGTTAAATATATTTATGTTGACAGCACGAGTTCTTGGCAATACTTTAAAAAGCGTTGTATGGTCAGCCATATTTTAATAAATTAATTGTATTTTTGTTCTTGTCTCTTTTTTGATATTCGAATTCTTTTAATATTTATAATTTACAATATACGTTTTTATATAATTTAAAAACATTATATAAAAAAATTTTTATTTACATTTGATTCCACGTTTATAGTTATAATAAGCAGTGTAAGACGAGCACTATTATAGCAAAGTCAGTGTAATGTTTTATTTTCCTTCACAATTTTTTCTTTGAGAAATGTAAAATAACATGACAGAAAGTACTATTTAGAACAGCCGGAAGCTGTTCTAATGTTTAATACTGCCAAGACGACACATTTCATGTAATAAAGTACTTTTTTAATTTTTAATCCTTCATTAGTATGTTTCTATTTAGTAGAATATAGGAGTTCTGAAGCAGAGTTAAAAAGTTTATTAAATATTATGAAGTATTCACGAAATTCTATTATGGTTTTCTACTATATCTTATTTTTATTAATAGGGTTTGATAAAACATATAGAAGAGAAAAAGAAAAGGAGGTAATAAACTTTCCTGGAATTATAAGGTATAAGTTCAAAATTGTTAAGCAATTTTAGTGTTTTAAGTTTCGTATAAATAATCTAATATTTAAATGTATTATTGTTCAAAAGTATTAAAAAAATCATTGACTTGTTTTAAAATTTAATATAAACGTACTTCATAATGATATTGTCCTTTTTAATACTTGAGGTTAATGTTTTGTTTTTATGTTTATATTTATTTTTATTTTACAACCAACTAATTAAAAATAAATATTACATTCGATTTACTTTATTAAGTAGATTTATTGCCAAATATTAAACTTCTTAAATCTTTGAATTAAAATTTAATATGCAGTTCAACAATCCTTACCAAACATAAAAATTATAAAAGCAATAAAACAATCCTTTATTCTGTTTGTTAATCAAAGACATTCACCCATAAAATGTACAACAAACCAAAATAGAAATTGAATGAAATCTTCCAATTTGGTTACGTTCAACTATTGTAATTCTATTACATTCGTTCAAAGTCACTGTAACTGCCACCATAAAATTCTTTTTGCAAGCCTTGCGGTTGCAACTAATTTAGTAGTTGCTTTATTAAACTCAACTGCTGAAGAAGTCATTCAACCACACACAGCCCTTCAATTGAGCTGAAAGCAGTTAATCAGAAATACTTAAGATTAAGGCAACTTAAGGTTGACCACCTGTGCTAACAAGACCACCCCAACTACCAACATTGAGGTGTGCTGATACTTCCTCCAACTCTGTTCGAATTGATTTAGTCTGCAATTCAATGCGATTTAATACGTCTCATTTCCTTTGTTTCATTCAACCGAAGTCAATCATATTAAGAAAGATTAAATGCAGCAATGGCAAAATAAACTTCGGAAAACTTAGTGAGTTAAGTTTTGCTTTGGCATTACAAAGTTCAGACCACGTTTAATGATTATTGTTGGTTTGTTCCTTTACTTATGAAGCTGGTCAGAATTTGTTAAGTTAAGCGAAAAAGTTTCACTTTTTATTTAATTTATTACTTATTTCGTTAGATTTCAACTGGACTTCAAATCGACTCTGATTCTGCTATTGTAGTGTGGTGAAGCAAACAAAATGGTTTGATAGTTTCTTTATTTGTTATGATCAATTTTTTTCAATACAAATGAAAAAGTTTCATTCTGTTTAATTATGCGAAATAAAACTTTTTCAACATTTTAGGATTAGGAATAACTGCATCAAATAAAATTGGGATGTGAGCAAGATTTTAATTCATTACTTTTAAGGTACACACACTGAATTTCCAAAACCATAATCATTTATATGTAGTTATGGTTCATAATTCAGGTACAGCAAGAAAAATTTCGATTTTATAAGATGCATGTAAAAGTAAAACACACAAAATTTCAACTTTATTAATATAAATTTTATTAAGTTACAAATTATCACAATAATATATATAATTAAGTGTATATTTCTTAATAAAATTTATTGTGCTAGTTTGCGAAAATTATGTTATTAGCAATCTAAAATAAAAACAGAAGTTCATCGAAACGTTCTAAATTAAAATCCATAGTCTTTATCAGTTTTACAGTTTCTAGGATATAATGCTACTTGGACATCATGTATTACTATTATCAGGTAGATGTTTGAGATATGAACACTAAAGATTAGCAACTGGCAATCCTCTATACCTTTTCCTTTGCTTTAGAAATGCAAAAAACTCTAATTCGATTCTTAAATGTCTTTATTTTCAAAAAATTTAAAATTAAAATTAAAATAAAAATAAAAATTACTTCCAATAAAAATTTAAACATGGTCGTACAGACACCGATGATGGTGAACGTTCTGGTCGTCCAATTGAGGTGGTTACTCCAGAAAACATCAAAAAAGCCCAGAAATTTGTTATATCTGATCATAAATCACCTGATCGATCAAAAACAAGAACGTGTTGATGATTCAGAGCATTGTTTGACCATGTTTACACATAATAAATCAGATTTTTTGCGTCGATATGTGACAATGGATGAAACATGGATCCATAACTTAACTCCGGAATCATAGCGATCATCATCTGAGTGGATTGCAGCCGGTGAGCCACGTCCGAAGCGTCAAAAGGCACAACAGTCAGCTGGGAAGGTTATGGTTTCAGTATTTTAGGGTGCACATGATATAATCTTCATTGGCTTTCTCGAAAAAGGAAAAACTATCAATAGTAACTACTACAAGGCATTACTGGATCGTTTGAAAGTAGAAATTGTGAAAAACCGAACTCATATGGCAAAGAAAAAAATTTTGTTTCATCAAGGCAATGCACCATGTCACAAGTCCTTCGAATTGCTTCCTCATCCACAGTATAGTCCAGATCTCGCCCCCAGCGACTACTGGCTATTCGCTGATTTAAAAAAAATGCTCGCCAATAAGAAATTCATTTCAAATGAAGAAGTAATTGCTGAAATTGAAGCCTATTTTGAGGTGTAAGACAAATCCTTCTACAAGCACAGAATCGAGAAGTTAGAGAAGCGTTGGAATGATTGTATTGCCCTTAAAGGAAATTATATTGATGAGTAAAATCGATTTTGGGCAAAAAAAAATTGTTTTTCTTAGTTAGTCAGACGACTTATTGAGTGATGTGTTATATGACAAAATATTAAATTCTAATTCCAATATCAATTCTGATTATACTTTTGAAAAACGTGAAGATGCTGCTTAGCTACGACAAACTAATTTATTTAGAATTCTAGGAATTCAAGACTTGAAGTTGACCTCATTCATTTTTTATTAATAAGGAATATATGCAAAATTCGTTATAAATAAAAACGTAATTTTGAATCAGCCTAGCTATAAAAAGTCAGATTACTTTTATTTTTTTTAATATTCATTAAGATGTATAAATATTAAGATATATAGGATATTACATGTGAAGTTTTGGATATATATGGTGTTCCTTAAAATTTGAAGGCAAGCATATCAGGCATTAAAGTATACGGTAACGTGAACGAAATCACTTTAAAATATGTAATATTAAATAATAAAATTGATATAAAATAGTTTAAAGTTATTTTTTTAGTATAGAAATTTTTGAAAGAAAATATGAACTATCCTAACAATCAATAGTCATTATACTAAGTCGTTCAGATATATCATTTGTGTATTGACTTTCGTATAGATTTAGGAAGAATGTTCTATAGATACTATTCTGTGTCTATATGATAGTAAATATTAGTTCTTAGCACTTCCCAAACAATTCTTTTTATACGAGTATCTTGAAGTATGACCACATGATAATTTTAATTTTAATAATTTGTATTTGAATTAATTACAACAAACTATTATTTTTTAAATTCACTGCGTTTATTTCTTCTAACTTTGACAAAATATCTGATCATAAGCACCTATATTATTTTTGGAATCAAACTTTCCTACTAACTGCATCCATATTAAGGACACAAATGTCCTTAATAAAAAATATGTTAAGATAAACTGCAATAGTTCAAGTAATATTCAATTACAAGTTCTCCTAAGTAGGTGCGGCGTCATTACTATCCCAATAAAGAAAAATATATTAAATATTATGTGTTTATTAATACGTTTATGCTATTATTATTACAATATGTAGTATTATTTAAAAAATAAGACCATAACAATATGTTGCATAAATTTCAAATGGAAATAATACCATGTTTTGGTTGTACAAATTTATTTTTGTGATTAATTTAACAGTATTAAAATAAAGAGGCCTTGATGTTATTTTAAACTTCAATTATTACTATATCGAAATTAATATAGTTCAGTCAATTTGAGTTGAGTCAATTTGTAATTGTAATGGTGTTGTAAATTCTATGTAG